TTCGCACTCCTGGGGAACCGCGCCAACCTGGCCTCCTGCGCCTCTTTTTTCGCCTTGATGTTTCTCTTAATTTGGACGATTACGGCCGCCATACTAGTTGCGCCTTTCGTATCTCCCACTTGAGCAACGTGACTTCTGCCCAGTTGTTCTCTTCTATAGCAGGTCTCAAAAATTTAGTTGCTTTATCATTTTTTTAAAACTGCAAATCAGTGCTTCTTTCTGATATGCCTGTAGCTCTGCTTGCCTTTGGGCGCTGTCCACACTCCTATGACTATACCCGCCTTCATCCTGGTTTGCGGCTCGTGGTATTGCCGGTGATGGAGGAGGAAATGGTCCCGGTTCCAGTTCGATGAGCATAGTTCCCAGGTTTGAATATCTGCCTCTGCGCGGCGGCGGCGAACCGCCCGTCGATACCATGCCAGCAGATGGATATGTCTCTCAACCTATTAGAACTTTGCTAACGGCGCACCGCCGCCTCGCCGGAACTTCAGCCTCTGAACCTTGCACTCTTTGAACAAGTTCAAGCTCATATGCTGCAGTTTCCAAGTTACCTCCACGGTGCCTTCCTATAGCATATCCCGCCCTCAGGGTAGCTTACAACATATCTCGCCCGCGGGATATGATAGAAACTTTCAGAACAAGGGGAGGCTGGTCTCGGTAGAGGTCTCGGTTGGTTATAGTGACCCAGTGGCAGCAGTGTTGCTCAGCCAGCCTACTTTTGTCTCTCTGTGTAGGCCCGGCCTTGTTGCGTGTAAGCCTGGCTCGAATTGGGCATCTCCGGGGCTAGGCAACGTGGCAAAATTCGACTTGGGGGGAGGCTGACCATACTCCATGCGCGCCCTTTAACGGAAGAATGTTAAGTGACTTGCAACAATTCATCCGTTCGGAAACTGCAGCAGGTTGCTGGTCGACTGTAGCAGTCATCCACATCGCAAGGCTGCATACTGCTTGCGCTTAAAGGGGAATCATCGACGAGGAGTGGGTGTAAGACTCGACTATGGCAAGTTCCCGCCTGGCAGCTAAGCTTGCCCCCAAAAACATGCATTGACCATTCCACGTTGTTCGTGCAGTGTCTCCGGAGCCGGGTGCGTACCAAACTCAGCGGGAGGCTCTCAGGCTTGTGTGGGGAATGTCCCAGTCGCGTATCAAAGAGCAAGCCGCGCAAAACCTCATAGCAGGTTTGGTTGTGATGTGCTCCTACTTGGGTGCTATGACCTGCACTTATCCACGGAGTATTTACTTCAAGTAAAATCTATATGAAACCTGCAAATTCTGAGTTATCACCTTCAAAGGGAGAAATCTCGTTCTGGAAGAAGCCCGCAAAATCAGGCTTAGCCTCCAGGACTTTATTCGGTGGGACTGGTGGCGGCTTCATGGTCTCTGCACGAAACTGATCCCATCGAAAGTTGTCGAAGTATTGGTGCTCAGTGATCTCGCCAAGGTTTCCTGAACCCGCAAGGCGAGTTTCCTTGTTGCAGATAAGCCCCTTAAGGAAGCTGGCAGCAGATTCATCCGTCTGGCTGAGATCGTCCTTCATATTCGAGGGCAGCTTTCCACTGGCGGCATCGCAGATCCTGGTGAATGTCGTCTTTAGGTCGTTGGTTACGAATGGCGAGGCCGCAAAAAGCATCTCATAAAGCACACAACCAAAAGCCCACCAATCCACACGTTGATCATAGCCCCGCGAGAAGATGAATTCGGGGGCGAGGAACTCAGGCGTGCCACACATGGTAAATGCCAACGTGCAAACACTGCGCGTGCCATCGCCGAGGTCAACGCTGTAAGGTAGCTCCTTGGATAGACCAAAATCACCAAGCTTGACACGACCGTTGGCAAAAACGAGACAATTCTCAGGTTTGACGTCGCGGTGGACAAATTTGGCCTGGTGACAATGAGCAATACCCAAGCAGAGACATGCCGTGTAGTACCGTGCATTGATGTATGGGATGATGTTGAGATTGATCATGTGTTCCATTAAGTCGCCACATTCAGCAACTTCCGTAAGAATGTAAATGAAATTATCGTCCATATATGTCGCATGAAGGCGCAGACAGAAAGGTGACTGGGCGACACGTTCTAGAAGGTGTTTCTCCGTCACAACCTTGCGAGCGAGTGCATTTTTCACAACCGACGACTTATCCATAGTCTTCATCGCGAAGAAGGACCTACAAAATAATATTGGGCTAGTATTTTTCGCTCTTCCAGCCATGATTGCAAAAATGACAAACCTTGAGGTTGGACTCTGGATTCAAACCCGGTTGATGTATCTTTGGTGAGGGTCACAGTCGAAAACCCTCCTTCTCCCAAGCGACATATTGCTTCAAGAGTGTCAAGGCGAATTGTGCACTGGACTTTTTCGATTGGCAACATACGTTGGTAAGGTTCCACCTTTCTCGTGTTTATGTCGGCCAAGGATGCGCGGTGTCGGATGTCCATTGCCATGAATTCTTCCCACGCTGTTTTATCGAGCGTCCAAAGCACGGGCTCACCTGCATCCTTTGGCCCGGCAACGACCCGAGCCTCGGCTGTGCGCTCGGTGCCATAAATGACAGAGAGCTCGCCAAAGAGCACAGGTGCCTTGAGTGTCCGCTTGTGATCACCATTAATTGAGAATGCGACCGCGCCTAGGTAGGGAAGAGGTCCTAGTGCAAGTCAATTAGCGCACAGTGAAAAAATACACTTGCACCTAGCGTTAGTCCGCACTCGAGCGTCTTACCAGCAGTCATGATATAGAGCTTACTTATATCCGGGCTTCCTTGGTTTATGATAATATGACCAACTACGACATCTGCGTGGCGTGTGAGACGTTGCATTGCGTAGTCCTTCGCAGCGTCTGTTAGAGCAGGGAGCTTGAACTGGCGCGTTATCATGTTAAAGAGCTCTGCTGCTGCCAGTGTTCGATGTGGATCCACAAGTTGTGCTGCCGTGAGATCTACGTCAGACTGAGTCTCTCTCTTGGCAAGACGCATCCGCCCCTTTACGGCCTCCATTAGTCCAGTGGAATAGACGTTATCATGGTGCACGTGTCCAGCCTTCAAGTGGTCAGTGACAACCTTTCTCGCATTTCCCGTGCTAAATCTTCTGCCTCGTTCTCGCTTGCCTCTCTGCGGGGATGGGAGACGCCGGCCGTGGGCTGGACTTTCCCTCGATACCCGCCGCAGCGACTCTTTAATTGATTCCATTTCCTCTGTGGATCCCAGTCGCTCTTGCTCAAAATGCCTTGGAGGCATTGTCCACCGTCTTGCGTCCACTGGAGACCCGGGCGACCCGCTATCCGACGCTCCCCGACCGAAGTCTTGTAACGAGGTCTCACTTTGCAGTGGACTGCCGTGCTTCAATTGCGGCGGTCGCTCTCCACCAAGGTTTCTACTCGAGGCGCTACTGTCGAGACTGCCATTTGCCACCGGTTCTTCATTTTTGTCTTTTGTCGCGCCAGCCTTTTGCCCTGACGCGCCCGCTCCCATCACAGTATAGGTTTTCAAGGTAGGATCGCTCGATGGATCGACAACAGTACCATTGACGCGGCGCCGCGGCTCGGGGTGGATATTAAGGAATGATACAAGACATGGTATCTCCCACTAGCCTGAGCTAAAGGAAGCAAGGTAAACTCCTCCCTCGAAGGGAGGCTGGGCTCAGTTCAGTTAAGAGTGCCAGAATGAAGGCCGACGGACCGCGCTTGGATGGCGCAGCCACCTCAGCGGGGGCGGAGGAGGGTAGGGCAGGGCGGGTGCTTAATTTGTGCCGAAGGAGGGTGCGCTCTTCGCTTTCACTCGCCCCCGGGCCGTGCCCAGGCTCACTAAGCAGGGGGGTCCCATATTCCTTTAACTAGAGAAAACTCTTTAACACCGCCGTGCTATTAGTGGAAGCTTCTGCCCCGCCACGCTCCCCAAATTCTTACTCTACGAGTTGCGAATTACAGGGAAGTCGCAGCGTGCACTATCATGATCCCAACTCTCAGCTTGTCTAGTTAGCGGCATAGCTCCCTACCCCCAGGGGCGCACGCGGGGGGGAATTCGCGGGGAAAATGACGCGCAGGAAGAGGACCGCCATTCACGGTACTTAATGTACGGTGGATGATGCAGGTGATAAGTGGTCGTTTGGTGGTCCTGGCTCACTGGCTCGTCACCTATCGTGGGATAAGTAGCCTGGGTGACTTGGCTCTCGGTCTTTGGGTCGGGTCTGGCGGGGCTCGTGCGTCTCACAATCGTCGAGGAATTCTCGTAGTTTCTTTAAAAGAAGGCCCGAATCGCGAAGGAGTATCTCAATATTATTGTGGCCAGCTCCAAAGATCCAAAAGGGCTTGCGCCGCCATCTTATGCAGGTCGCCAAAAAGAGTCCCTGGCCATGCCAGAAAGGAACAACCTCGTCGTGGGTACCATGCATGATAAAGACGGGACATCTGAGGTCTCTGATGCGGTCCACATTTGGAAACATATCTCCCGGTAAAGTCAGACGGAAGTCGAACGCTATACGAAATACAGACATGATTGGAGACTGTAGTACAATGCCAGCAGGTGACATTCCTGCCCTGCACAGCTTTTGTGCCAGATATAGCGCCGGGCCCGAACCGACAGACCTAAACATACAAGAAGTTGGTGGAGCTCATGGGGCATGATAGAGACGGACCGAGAGTAGAACACGATGCGGTCTGCTTTTATGCAGCGAGTCTTTGTTAGGTAGAGCCACATTGCATCAATATCAGCATACGCGTTCTCCTCTGATGGTGTTCCTTTACTTCTAGCGTAGCCAGTGTAGCCTACATATGATTTAGATTGATTATTAAGTGTCATTGAGATGGACTCACTGTAAGATGCGATATTTACTTGAAGGCGAATAGAGACCTCACGAAGCCAACCGTATATCATTGACACGTCCTCTGCGTTGGCATGCGAAAAAAGTATCGTTCTCGGGGCTCTCCGATCTATGAAGAATGCTTCGATTCGCGAATTTAATCGTGTTTCGAGCCAAACATGAGTGGACTCGACATCGGCGAGTATGATATCTTGCGATGAGGCAGTGTTAGAGGGAGGCTGAAATACGAGGCTCTGAGTGAGCCGCATTGGAACAAAGCTATAATTATATCCCGAAAATAAGTAAGGAATGATACAAGATATAGAATGATATAGGAAAATAGTAAGGCGCTCCATGTAAAGAATCTAAGTTCCGTACATCAACCTGAAATTAAGGTACAGTCCGTAGAAGCAGGATAAGCACGGCGGGTGAGAGGGGAAGCTCAGTGGGCTACCTTACGGTAGCGTAGTCATCTATATGATAAACGGCGACTATCGAGGTCAGAACGCGAGTGTGATTAAGCACAATCAAAGTGCGCTTGGCGATAGGCCAGTCGCCTAGGGAGCCTACATTCCGCTCCTTGGGCTATGCTGCCCCGTGCTATGCTGCCCTAATAATGGGACTATGCTATCCTCCCTAGGGAACAAATTCTCTGTGTCATATGAACAGATGATGAACGATCCGATAGCGGAAGCATCCACCCAAGACATGGACACGGCATAGTATCGAGCATCATCCAAGATAGCGCAACGCGTCTATCGGAAAACCTGCAAGCCGAACGGATCACCAAATCACAACACAAACTTTACCAAAGGATACTGAAAAGAAAAAGTATATACCGTGTTAGAATCCGAGTATGCTAGTATGAAGCACCAGCATAGTATAGCATGAGCATAGGCAGTATAAGGCAGACTGAGCATAGCCAGCATAGGCCAGTATGAGCGTCCCAGCATAGGAGGATAGCATAGTCCCGAGTTAGGGTAGCATAGCCCAAGGAGCGGAATGTAGGCTCCCTAGGTAGCTGGCTTATCGCCAAGCGCACTTTGATTGTGCTTAATCACACTCGCGTTCTAAGGGCGATATTCGCCGCTTTATCAGGTCGCTCTCTGCTATGATGTCGTAATCTAGGCCTGGCACTATGTGCACTGACCACGGCTCGCTTACAATTTGGAATGCTCTCAGATTTTCAGACGTCTGAGCGGATGCCGTCATATAGAACTTCCCCACCAGCTTTAGCTCTGACCATCGGAAAAAAAACCACGCTGCAACTCACGTGGGACTTGAACCCACAACCCCCGGATCACACGTGTAGAAGTCCGGTGCGCTATCCATTGCGCCAGTGAGTTAAGACTGCTTGACAAAAAAATGCCGAGCGCCAAAAACCTATGAATGACGAAACGATCAGGTTTAGAAATGAAACGTGAAACTGGTTCTGGTTCTGGGACAGCCTCGCTGGTACGGGCTTCAATCCGCGCGGCGCACTACGGGAACAGCAGGGCTTCTGAACGAGTTTTGCATCCTCGTCGTTCTGCGAGGATCGTCGAACCAGCAAATAATGAGACGCGCATCGAACTCAAAGTCAGTTTTCACGTACAATATCCTTTCACGCTTGACTGTAGGCGCATTCGATGCCATTGTACACGGATCAGACGCACAAAATCTCTATACCACCGAGCTCATTTCGGGGGCCTCAAAATACCAAGGTGTTGGACCGATCGCGTGAGTCGCAAGACGTTATTTGCCGGCGTATGTTCAAAATCGATCTTCGTGATTCAACTCTGCGTGTATCTATTTGTAGGCTGTGAAAACAGCCTCAACAACGACATCGCAGCACAGTAATTATACATTTCCCTCTCGTGGTCTCCAAGCTAACCGGGAATCGACTCGTGCATCGTCACAAAGACACATAGATGTGAGCGGGGACTGTCTATGAATATTGCAGTAAACATGTTGCATTAGGTTGCATTGGGTGGGGCACAGATGATGTCGGGTGACCGGCGATCATCATCACTTACACAAGCCCAGAGCTTCAATCAAGAAAAGCAGCAGCAGCCAGTCTTTCAAGGTCCAAATCACGTCGTTAGTGCGGTGAATGGGGAGCGGCGACCAAGCACAGCATCTGCATGTCTTGGAGTAGAAAGCGGA